GGCAGCCGACTCCGGTTATAACCAATGACGATCCGTTCGGCGATACGCGAGAGGCGCGCGCGAAGGAGGGAAAAAAGGGGCAACGCGCGCGCGTGGCCGTTTCCGATCGACGAGAAGCGCGTATCTTGCAGCGAAGGAGCCTCGCGTACAGGAATATACGCGCCTTTTTATCTACCGTCGCGTAAAAATCCGTCGCGACGCGAAGCCGCGAGTACGAGAGAGCGCGCGACGGAGAGGAGAGAGAGAGCGAGAGAGCGAGGCTGATAGGCGCGCGCCACCACACACTCGAGACGCGTCATACGGCCCGCCGCAAGGACGGGGCCGAGAAAGCCAGCTTTTTATAGCGAACGAGGAAAAATCCGGGCTCGGGTCAGGGCACCGAACTGGCCGGTCGAAAAATCGCGGGCGGATTGCACTCGGCGGTCGCCCCGGCGGTCCAGCCGCACGCCCGGTACGTAGGTGGCGAGATACGGCTCGAGTGTGCCTCGGCGGTTGCAATGGCCGGCGTGGGGCACGCCACTCGGGCACGTACGTGCGCGCCAGAGTCGTCACGTCGCAAGAGGAAAGCGGCCGTTTTCGCCCGTATTCCCGGTGCGTTGGGCGCGCGTTACCCGCGCCGACGGCCGCGCGCGGCACGATTCGACGTCAGTCCGCGCGCGAAATAGTCTACATCGCGCGATATCGGCACTTACCGGTGATCTCCTTGCGCAGCTCCTCCTTCGAGATATCGGCCATGGTAGATGCTACTCGCTGTGCGTACTGCTGCCAACTGAGCCTACGCCGGCTACGGAGTCTCCCATAGCGTCCGTTGGTACAGTCCGCGCAGGCAGCGCCCCGATACGCGGCCGCCCGTGCGCCGTGCAATAACGAATAACTCGAGAACGCTCGCACTCAGACGAATACTATATACACCGAATCGTGTTAGTTTTTTACGCTCGACAAGTTTCTCATGACGCCCCACGCGTAATTCGGCGATCGGAGTGTGCCAATTCGGCGTTTCCCCGCGTACCACCGCTCGCACTCTCGCCGCTGACTGTACGTGAAGCGGCGCGCCGTGGCTGCCGGTGGCGTCCACGGTACAGTCCGCGCACCGCGCCGAGCACAGCCGCCGCCGGAAAAAGCACCTTCGCCGCGCGATAACTCGTCGACGCGGCCACCAACACGGATACTATATACACCGAATCGGGCCAACTTTTTTTTCTCTACAAGTTTCTCATCACGCCCCGGGCGCAATATTGCGATTTAACCGACCCGATCAGCGCCTCGGCCGCCCGTGCCGCGCGGCCCTTTCGCCGCTGACTGTACTCGGAGCATACTCCGAGTTTCGTAGCGTCGAGAGCGCCTAGTCCGCGTCATATGACAATCGCGGCCCGTGGCTGTCCGGGGATGTGTAATTGAAAAAAAAATGCGGACGAGGATCGCGCCGACGGATGCGAGCGATCGATGCGGAAAACGGACGCGTCCGCCTCGTCGCCACGGCCGGTCTCGCGCAATTTGCTCCATTAATTCTTGATATTTTTATCGAACTGTCTCGCAACCGCTCGCGCGCGCAGGATTTAACGGTCATTCCGGGGGGAGGGGGGAAATTTATACACGCGCCGTCGCGTATGTACGTGTACGAAACGGCAGAGCTTCGAGCCGAAGCTTACGTCGCCACGCGACGTGTCCTCGGCTTCTCGCGTCGTCGAAAAAGTCGCCGCCTTAAGCCGGTAATCGCGACCAATCAGCGCGATATTTTAACGGGCCGCGACGGCAGCAACGGCCACTCGGCTCCTTCGTCGCGTTAGCGGTACAGTAACGTCCGAAAGCGTCGGCGCGCGGGCGGCGACGGGCGAACTTGGCCGACGAATATCTCCGTAACGGCGCGTCGCACGACGATACTGCCGTCACAAAATCGTGTCAATTTCGCGCGACGAAGGTCTTTCTCGCGACGCGCCCCGCCCGATTCTATCGTCTCGAGCGGCCCTTGCGGCTCGCCCGCAGCGCGTGCCGACGCCACTCTCGGCGCTGACTGTACCGTACTCGGCACATCCACTCGGCGAGTCCGAGCGCGTCTACGGCCGTGCGTCGTGTCGCAACGTTCGCGCTTCGCGGCTCGCCTCGCGCGCGGGGACGGAGACCATTTTTCCTCCGGGACGGCGGCGAGCGTTGTTTACCGACGAGCGTTATTCATTCGCGTCTCGACGCAAATGCCGCCATAGGCGTTTGAATGTTCCAACATGGCCGCGCCAAGCCTCGCCGTCGCACCTGGCCACGCGGCATCTTCCCCGGCCATGGCGACGGCGACAACGCGGCGTCGAGCGGCACGGGCGAACGCGACGAGTCGCGCACGCCCGACCAGCTCGCGACGATCTCGACGAGATCCGGCAGACATGCCGGGATTGCGCCTTTTCTCTCTCAAAACATTACTTTCCCTCTCATTTCGCACGTCACTTCCGGTCGTTCTGGGCGGTCGTCAGAGGCGCCTGTAGACGAAACACCTCGGCTCGACCCGCCGCCCGGTCGAACGGTCGGGAAATTTAAGCGCTGCGATTCAATCGCGTTTCATGCAAGGTTCAGTTGTGCCGGTTCTCGAAACGTAGTACAGGATGGTACTTTTAGTTGCTCATTTGTCTCCAAAATATTGACATTTTCGCGTTATTTGGAAGCACGCCGCGCTCTCTGTCGGCGACGCCGAGTATTGCATCTGCGTGGCAGATGCAGGCCTGGTGCAGCCGGAGAGCGAGATGGCGCTTAGGTCAGGCTGGTCAGCAGGTGGCGGCAGAGAGCGGCAAATGTAAATTAAAAATAAAAAGGCTCCTGATTGTTCTCTGCCGCACTTGCCTTTAAGCCTCCGCTACAATGATTCTCGGTTCTGTCTACAATGGTCGTAGTCGTAGTCGCTCGATAAGAATTGACCAATCGCAGTCGATTATTCTTACGACTACGACCATTGTAGACAGAACCGAGAATCATTGTAGCGGAGGCATTAGGCTGGATTCAGACACATCTCGACTAAGAGCCGAGAAGCGACTAATTCCATCTTAGCTCAGAGAGCCGAGAAGCGATTACTTCGATCTTAGCTCAAAGAGCCGAGATGTGACCTATTCCATCTTAGCTCAGAGAACCGAGATGTGACCTATTCCATCTTAGCTCAGAGAGCCGAGAAGCGACATATTCCATCTTAGCTCAGAGAGCCGAGATGCGACATATTCTATCTTAGCTCAGAGAGCCGAGATTTGACCTATTCCATCTTAGCTCAGAGAGCCGAGAAGTCTGCGCAAGACAATATTTTGTCTCTCGCTCCCTCTCATGCCCCCTGCGGCCACTCTATTTTGCCTCTCTGTCTGTTATGTTCGTGACAACTTTTCTTAGGGAAATGAATGGGCATGCTGGATCTATCTTCTATGTCTATAATATGGAGTGGCCACGCCGTAGGGTTTACTTGGCAACCAAAAGTGCCATGGATGTACGAACTTCGGAGTCACATCCACTTATCGACACCGTTCTTACATCCACTTTTCGACATTGTCTTAACTTCCATAAATTGTGGATAGCATAGACATATATTCCAAAAAGCGATCGAAAAGTGGATGTAGCACGGATACACACCGAAAAGTGATATTTATCGACTGTGTCGATAACTGGATGTGTTCCGTAGTTCTGACTTCCACCTGTGGTGGCGATGCCGGCGTCAAAATCGGTCCCAAGCAGAGATCCTGTAATCGGAGACTGGCCGTAAGAGTTTCGTCAAGTCACTGCGAGTGAGAGAGAAACGTAGGCTATCTGACTCCTTTACGATCGTTACGATCATACCCAAGTAAACCCTACGGCGTGGCCGCTCTCAGGCCTCTCTCTGGTAAGATTATCTTTAGGTACAGAAAGGGCATCGGATGAGCCACAAAAGTAGAATCATCCCCCAGGTGTAGAACGGGCATATTTCCCTGTCGCATGCGTTCAAGAATCGAGCCCCAGCCCTCTAGATACAATCGTTTCCAGGACGACATTTCCAATCGACGCTAAGACTCTTCTCCGCATGTTCAATCGTTGAACCAAAGCCGCGAAATATGTCGACGAGAAAATATCCCCGTAGGCGGGCGCCAGCTCGTCTTCGATGGTAATCGCACCTCGACGGTTCGCAATTACCTTCGTTACCGACCGTGGGCCGCGCCGCGACGCTCCGCCCGGCCGCCAGGTGTCGCCAGCGTATGCGCACCGGAGTGAACACGACGTTTTAGACTGTCGCGCGAAACCGGGGGGGACTCTTGTAGTTCTTGTGCGTTATTATTGCTATTTGGTTGCACCATGACCCCCTTTTACATCGCGCACCGTGCGGTCGTACTAACCGATTGTGAAAACATCGACCCGAAATGCGAGCGTCAACGACTTCTTCGACTTCTCCGTGAGTGATGCACATTTTCGGTTCGCGCGTCTCTTTTCCCTCTCTTTTTTTTTCGAGACTGTACTCACACGAAGAAACGAATATGGAGGACAACCGTCGAGCGCTTTCGCACTGGTATTCACTTGTCTCTCGTCTACGATTCTAAATGTTAACTTTGATTCTGACGCGATTGTTAATACTCGTAAGTAAGAAGTCTTTTTTTCTAGGTCTGTTGTGTCGTTCGTAGACGCACGTTGGATCGTGCTATTTTCGGATAAGAGGAAACTCGGCGAGTTCAAGATCAGCCTCCGTACGATCGCCGGTCTCGGACGGCGAGCAACGTTCCGCTGCAGATCGGTACGTGACGCGATGATATTATTAGGAGCTTTAACGTTAATTTGCCTCGTCGATGCGTGCCCGCGCGAGCGCCCGGGCGTGCGTTTAATGCTACGCGCCGACAAATAGGGGCGCAGAATTATGATAAATTCTCGGGGAACACGTTGTTGCACAAGCCGCGAGCTTGATAGTACAACTGCTGATCGAACTAATTAGTTTGCCGTTCCACTCGATGGCGACACGTCGCGCGGCGTGACGTTAATCATGCGCGAAGAAAAGATCTCGCGATTGTGTATGTTCATTCTTGCGATTTAATTAACGCCCCGTTCAGGTACAGCCGTGATTTTAATATTCACGAGACGCGAGACTCGATTGGCTCGCGAACGTGGGCAACGTGGATTCGCAAAACACGGAAAATCTTAAGCAGTAAAGTCTAATCTGCAGCGTATTTTTTATTATATTACTGTAAGAAACATTCCATTTTGTATGAGCAAGTCAATACACTTAAAAAACTTATCAACAATGTGCAACGTATAATTTATCAACTTGCACAAATGTTTTAAACAGTATTTATTGCTATAAACCAGT